AATGCCTACGGAGGACAGAAGGGGCTGTTGGATCCCCTGGAACTGGATTTACAGACAGTTAGCTGCCATGTGGGTGCTGGGATTCGAACCCAGGTCTTCTTCAAGAACAACCAGTGTTCTTAACTGCTGAGCCATTTCTTCAGCTCTTAATTTAGTGTTTTGAGGAAGGGTCTAGCATTATAAGCTTGAGCCACAGTGCTCAGTTAATTCTTTGTCTTTAAATGAAGTTATATTGTAGAGACGAGTTCACTAGTTAGTTGAGGAATAGGATGCATTAAGGGTCTTCTTTCTGTGGCTGAGTGGCTTTAGTTAGACACTGACTACATTTGGTATTTCTCACAAATACCAAATACTCTCTTCTGTGGCCAACATAAATAAGGAACTAGACTTAGATACTTAGCAAAAGTGGATTGGGAGCCAAAGCCTGGAAGATGGAAATGCCACTGGCTGGATTCTACATTGTAGAAGCTTCTTTGCTCCTAGGAAGGTTTCAGTTAGTTCTTTGCAGCAGTTAAGACTTAAAAAACCTGAAGTCTAATTGGATGTAGTGTCAAGAAAAACTTTAGGACTGTAAGTAACTGTAAAGTGAGTAGGGAGGTCCCATCTTAAAGAGACCTATCAATTGGGAGCCCAAATTTTGCAAAAATGAAACCCCTAAACAAAAAACTAATCTACCCATATATACCGCTGGCTGAATTGCCTAAGTGTATCCTAGATTACAGGCAGTGGAGTTGGGGCTGAAAGGACTGAACAAAACTTTCTGCTGTTTCCTTTGTATACACAGTTTGGTTTTGATTTCAGGTAACTTAACTGTCTTCAATCACACAATTATCAACTCTTTGGAGCAAAATAACAGAAGTCTCTTCATTGACTCTTCCAGTGTCCAGTGTCCAATTTGAGATGTTAGATAGAACAAAAGAGGAAATGTGACTCGTTCAGGAAAGTAACTCACATGTTGAAATTAATAGGCAAGAATGTTAAAAACAGGTATTGTAATCATATTCAAGTACAAAAAGACAGAAGGTCCAATAAGGAAAAGCAACAATAAGAAGAAAACCAGTTTGAAATTCTGTAGCCGAAAAAAGTGATTTCCGAACTCCAAATCATTATATTTGACAAGGCACTAGAGATAGAAGCGTCGGTGAGTTTGATGATAGACTAATATAAATTATTCAGTCTGTACAAAAATTTTAAAAGTATACAGAACAAGTTGCTCATCATATTTTTACTCAAGAAATAACTATAAATCTGGATAGTGTTCAGTTAAACATATATAAAATTTAAGAATGTAGTGCTGGGGTCATAGTTCAGTAGTTGAGTGCTTGTCCTAGATTCAGGTTCCAGCACTAGAAAACCCAGCCAGGTATGGTGAGGAAATCCTAGGCCTTGGGAGGCTGAGGTAAGAATTTTTTTTTAAATTTTTTTAATTTTTATTTATTTATTTATTTATTTATTTATTTATTTTTTTGTATTTTGAGTCAGGGTTTTGTGTAGCTCAGGCTTCATCTTGCTCTATACTAAGGACATTCTGAACTTCTGATCCACCTGTCTCCACTTCCCAAGGGCTAGAATTAGAGGTGTGTGCTGCCTGGCCCGGCTGAGGAGAGAAAATGGCTGCATTGACTGACCTTTTCACAGACAGCAGAAGTAAAGAATAAAAAGGTTTAATTCATAGGAGGGCCATACAAATTCTAAGCCTTGTGTTTTTTCTGACTACTAATGTCTCACTTGTTTCTTTTAATTTTTACCTAAATATATCGGCTTTTATTTTGAGCTAGGGGTTCTAGCTATGTTGCTCAGGTTGGCTATTGATTCTCCAACCTGTCTCTCAAGTAGCTAGGACTACCACCTCCTGCCATTTGTTCACTGCTTAGTTGACATTTTAAATTTTACTGTTTGAAAATTTCAGATTCTAGTTGTTTATTATTAGTGTATAGGAATTCAGTTGACATTTTAATGCTGTATTTGTAGCCTGTGAACTTGTTGAAGTCAGTTATTACTTCTAGTCTTTTTCCCTCGTATTTTAGATTCTTGGGATATTCCACTTAGACAGTCATGTCTACAAACAGGGCCAGGTGTTGTTTCTGTTGTTTCTTGCTTTTCATGTATGCCTATTTCTGGAGACAGAGTCTCACTATGTAGCCCAGGCTCTCTTTACTCAAGACCTCCCGCCTCAGCTTCCTGAGTGCTGTGATTACATATCTGTGCAACCATGTCCCAAACAGTTTTAAGTTTTTTGAGTGTAAGATTGTGTTCCATGTTGGAGACCAAACCTCAGGGTCTTGAGCATTCTGGGCAAATGGCCGTACCTCCAAAGCCTAAAAGTGTTGATACTTTTTTTGTTTTTTGAGACAAGGTCTTCCTGTAGCCCCAGCTGGCCTGGAACTTGCTATGTAGACCAGGCTGGCCTTGTTCTCACAGAGATCCACCTGCCTCTGCCTCCTGAGTACTAGGGTTAAGAGTGTTTACTTTCTAGGAAGCTGCTAACTGCCTTCCAAAGTGACTATATTTTGGGTTTTCACTAGCTTTACATCTTCAGCATTTGTTACTAGTGAGTATTTTTGTTGTTATTTTGTGGGTCTTTTTTTTTTGAGACAGGGTCTAAGTGTGTAGCCCTAGCTGGCCTGGAACTTGCTATGTTCCATCCTAGGCTGATTTAGACCTCACAGAGGTATGTCTGCCTCTGCCTCCTGGGTACTTGGATTAAAGCAGTGTGCCGCCACACCCGACTTTCTTTGTACAGTTTTAGGATGCTCAATGGGTAAGGGCATTTGCCAGCAAGCCTCACTACCTGAGTTCAATCCCCAGGATCCACATAGGGGAAGGAGAGAATTGACTTCACAAAGTTGTCCTCTGGCCTCCACATGCATGCTCTGGTATGTTTGCGTGCACCTCCATGCCTGTATACTCATATACTAAATGCATGTAATAAAAGTTATTTGTACATTTCAGATAATTTTTCTTTATCAGAGGTCTGATTTGCAAAATTTTTTTTTCTGAGTCTGGTTTGTCTATTTTTTTTTTTTTTTTGGTCTTTTTGAGACAGGGTCTCTCTGTAGCTCCAGCTGGCCTGAAACATTATGTAGATCAGGCTGATCTTGAACTCACAGAGATTCTCTCACTTCTGCCTCCCAAATACTGGAGTCAAAGTGCGCCACCACGCCTGGCTTGGTTTGTCTATATTTTAGATAGGATCTCATATCTCAGGCTGACCGTGAACTTGCTATGTAGCTAAAGATGACCTTCAGCTTTTTTTTTGGAGACAATTTCACTATGCTGGAACTAGCTATGTAGACCAGGTTGGCCTTGAACTCACTGAGGTCTGCCTCTGCCTCACCAGTCCTATGTTAAAGACTTGTGCCACCATGCCCAGGAACCTTGAACCTATGATCCTCCATGCTCTATTGACCCAGTGCTTGAATTACAGGCATGTGCCACCATGTCTGGTTTATGTGGTGCTGGGATGTGGTACTGGGAAATGAACTTAGGACTTTTGCATGCTAGACTAACACGCCATCTACACCCCAGCCCTGTAGCTTGTCTTCTCATAGGAAGTTTTCTAATATTTTGTTGGAGTTGCATCTGTATTCATAAGTAATAATGATCTATAGTTTACTCTTGTGGTATCTTATTTGGATTTGCTGTCTTATTGGTATTTGGCCTCAAAATGAGTTGAGAAGTGTTCCACCTATTTTTTAGAAGAATTCATGGAGAATTAATATCTTTTTTTACATGTTTGTTGTAGTTGGTCATTAAAACACCTGGACTTTTGCTTTTCTTTGTGGGTAAATTTTGATGACCAATCTCTTGACATGTCTTAATTTTTCTTGAGTCAATTTCATTAGTTTTTCCATTACAGTTAACTAATTTTGGGGTATACAGTTTATAGCATTGTTTAATAATCCTTTTATCTTGGTAAGGTTAGTGGTATTAGCTCCTCTTTTATTTCTGAGTCTAGTAACATGTCTTGCCATTCTCTTTCTTGGTCAATCTAGGCTACGGTTTATTCCAGATTTTTGTTCTTTTTTTTTTTTTTTTTTTTTTTTTTTTGTTTTTTTTTAAACGAGGTTTCATGTAGCCCCAGCTGGCCTGGAACTCACTATGTATATCAGGCTGGCCTGGAACTCACACAGATCCACCTGCCTTTGCCAGGTGCTGGGACTAAAGGCATGTGCCACCACACCCGACTTTTTTGTTGTTGTTGTTGTTTTTGAGACAGGGTCTCTCCCTGTAGCCCCAGCTAGCTTGGGATTCACTTTGTAGAATGGGCTGGCCTCAAACTCACAGAGATCCACCTGCCTCTGCCTCCTGAGTTCTGGGACTAAAGGCATGCACGACCACGCCTGGCTTATTCCAGTTTTTTGAACAATTGCCTTTTACTTTCTTTAATTTTTTTTGTTTTCTGTTCTTTGTTTCATTAGTTTCATTAATTTCTACTCTATTCTGTTTTCTTTAGTTTTAGTTTACTCTTATGTCTCTAGCATTTTATAGTGAGATGAAATACAATTTATTAGTAGCACTTTTTATTTTAAGTATAAGATATATTAAAATGTCTTTTAATGGGAAATACCTTAGAACAAAACCACAATAAAAATGTTTTGATACTAGTATGATCTTCTGTAATATGCTACTTAATACAAACGGGTTATGTTAAATGAGAGTGAGTCTTATCAGTATGCTCTTTTGTTTTAGTGAGTATTACCAGTACTGTCTCTCCTGCTTCATAGCTTCAAAATGGGCTTGTGGTATTAGTATTCCGGTGTGTGTGTGTGTGTGTGTGTGTGTGTGTGTGTGTGTGTCTGAGACAGGGTCTCGCTGTGTAACTCTGGCTAACCTTGAACTTGCTATGTAGGCCAGGTTGGCCTTAAATTCCTGCTAATCCTTCTGCCTCTGCCTCCTGAGTGCTTGGACTGCAGTCATGTGCCATCTTGCCAATCTTGGTGTTTCATCTAATAATATACCGAAGAGATAAATAATCTTCTTTATTGCTTCTTTTTTAGATAAAATTAGTGGTTTTGGAAATAACTCCGATATGATGGAAAATAGTAAGGAAGAGGTAAGTGTAATTTAAAGCATTTTAAGAGATGCTTATTAACTGTTAACAGATTAGTGTTTATGTGATTATATTGCTTCTAGTTAATACATGCCAACAGTAAGACTACTATTGAATGTAGTTGTCATTATGATACTTGAGTTTGGTAGGTGTCCAATTTGAGAAGGTGTTGACTGTTTTCATTATCCAGTTAACTTTAGTAGTTTATCTTAAGTTAGAAAACTGAAGAATTGGTGATTGATAGGTTGTTAAGCATCATTATATTGTATCAGTTTGGGGTAGACATTGTGGAAATGGCTTTAGGGCTCAGAGAGCTTTTCAAAATATGGTATTCAGACTTTCTAGGCATCATTATAGTAACCTATACTGGGGTCCTTCATTTGGTATTCTATAGAAGTTATTTTATGCTGTATGTTAAGAAGAATTGTACCTTTTTAGATCCTTAAACTCCCTGCCTTGCATAAATCTAGATACTTCTCCTTTGTTTTGTATTTATAAGATGGGACAAAATCATGGTAAGCATTGAGTCGTTCCCTATATTCTTAGCATGTAACAGCAATAACAGTGATAAGCGTGTTTACGTAGCATCACAAAAAGGAAACAGAAGGGCTAGGGGTATGTTCAATGTTAGAACACATGCTAGAGGTGGGGCCTCAGGACCTACTAGAACACATCTAGAGGTTGGGCCTTAGAAGCTACTCCCTATCCCTGCTAGAACTTTGACTGTCTCAGTCATGTACAGGTGAACATAGTTGCTGTGAAATTTCTTTCTTTCTTTCTTTCTTTCTTTCTTTCTTTCTTTCTTTCTTTCTTTCTTTCTTTCTTTTCCCTCCCTCCTTCCTTCCTTCCTTCCTTCCTTCCTTCCTTCCTTCCTTCCTTCCTTCCTTCTTTTAAAGATAGAGTCTTATTATACATCAGTGAAATTTCCTTTTTCTTTTTCTTTTGTTTTTGTTTTGGACAGGGCCTCACTATGTAGCCCTGGGTGGCCTAGAATTTTCCATGTAGAGTAGGCTAGCCTTAGAGATCCACCTGCCTCTGTCTCCCTAGTGCTGGGATTAAAGGCATGTGCCACCACACCTAGTCAAGAAATTTTCAAAGAATAAAACAAATCTTAAAAAATTATATGCTAGAGGTCTTGGATTTAATCTTCAGCCCATACCCACACCCACACCCACACCCAAACTCACATGCACAACATTAAATTTTCAGTTAAGGAAATCTTAGAGTAATGATAACTAGCATTTTGGGATGGCATTGGGACTGAACCTTGGACTTTGCATTTTTACTACTGAGATACAGATTCAACCCCTCAGAATTTGTTTTTGAAATTTTCTTTAGGGTAATATTTTAGGCATATAATAGCATCTCATATGGTTATATCAAAGATCTTACTATATGGGAATTGTTGATTATAGGAATTTTGTTGTGAGAGTTTTACTCATCCTTATATTTTTTTTCCTCATGTTTAGGGAACTAGCACCTCAGAAAAATCCAAATCTTTAGGATCTTCCCGATCAAAGAGGTTGGTTAATGTTGAAGGGAAAAATGTTTTCTTATTTGATTCTGCTTCTAAAAATATCTTTTCTGAACCTACTATAAGTACCATTGTTCTAAATAAACTATTGTATACAAATTAAAGTGTTTGGAAATAAGTACTTTAATATAGTACATTCCATTTTTACTGTTATCCAGTTTCAACAATGATTAATTCATTCTGACTTTCAAGCTTAAAAGAAATAGAGAACGATTGTATTAGTGACTTACCAATATATAGTGCTTTACTAAAAACAGGAGAAATATGGAATGTATCTTGATTATATGGGCTTTTAAGAGTTATATGGTACTGTCTAGGGTGGGAAGTATTTATCATACTTATAAGTGATACAGAGTTCAAAGAGTGTTGAAGATGTCTTTTTACTTTGAATTGCCAAATTGGACATAAGGAATGAAATCATTTCTACTATACTGTGGGGCATGGTTCTTTCTAAAAGTTTTCAGTGTAGTAAACAGTTTTTGCTGTTTTTTTTTCACACAGTTTGCTTATTATTAGTTCATCCTCAAAAGTAGTGATTCTTTGCTTTGTTTCATTTTTTTGTCTTTTTGAGACAGAGTCTTCTGTAGTCCCAGCTGGCCTGGAACTCACTGTGTAGACCAGGCTGGCTTTGAACTCACAGAGATCTGCCTGCCTCTACCTCTTCGAGTGCTGGGACTAAAGGCGTGTGCCACCACACTTGGCAAAAGTAGTGATTCTTTAAAAAAAGATTTATTATTTTCTTCTGTATGTGTGTGTGCCTCCATGGGTTGTGTGCACCATGTGCATGAAGGCGGCCAGAAGAGTGCGTTGAATCCCCTGGAGCTGGAGTTACAGGCACTTGTGAGCCATAGTGTGTGTGCTAGGGACTGAACCTGGGTCCTCTGGAGGAACAATAAGTGCTTTTAACCACTGAGCCATCTCTGTAGCCCCTTAAGTAGTGATTCTTAAAGATTTCCCTTAAAGATCCACTTGGCACCAGAATATACATGTGTTAGTTCAGTCATAATCTTCAGTGATTTGATGTAGACATGCACGTTTCCATCAATGATTTTGATGCACATCCCTTCTTGGGAGTCACTGCTAAATCTAAACATGTTATTTATGGTCTTGGTGTGTTGTTCTAATTGTCAGAAATTCCTATAACTCTTTGAACTTAATTCTTCATAGGAAACCTTCAATTGTGACAAAATATGTAGAATCTGATGATGAAAAACCTTTGGATGAGAATGTAAATGAAGAAACTTCTAATGAAAATTCAGAAAATGATATTACTATGCAAAGCTTGCCAAAAGGTAATCTGTATTAATTTTTTACATGAAGTTAAGTGGAAATATATTTTAAAATGGTCATTCTTACACATCTTGTGTTAACTGTGAATAGAGAATCAAAGTTGGCCATTTAGCTAGTGGTCTGGAAATGCATTAGTTTGGTAATGAAGATGTGTTATTTAGATTGAAAAAGTGAAATAAATCAGTTAGTTTGGACAAGAACAAAATCAAGTATTTTTTTTTCCTTTGGGTTTTTAAAAAGGGGCTTAACTTTCCAAATTATGTTTGAATATGAAAGTGGGTTTAAAAGTTTAAGATGTTAAGTTTTGACTTGATAAATGTCAGTGCACTTGCTTATTTAAGAATGTAATGACTTCCTGAAAACTTTTTAAAAAATCAGTCTCATTTAGTCTTACTGAATTCTTTTTTGAGTAGTGTGGAGAATTATGCCCTCTTATCACTGAGATAGTCTTCCAGACACTGTCTTACTACATGCTAAAGTTCCCTGAGTGTTATCTATTAAATAGATAGATTTAGGTATATTTGTTGATGTTGTCTTTTGAATAAATCTTGTCATATACCTTTTAACTGTTATAGTCCTACCTGTGAAACTTCATTAATTGGATTAGAGAGGAAAAAAATGCCAAACAAAGTTGGTCATGGTGGCGCACACCTTTAATCTCAGCACTCTGGAGGAAGAGGCAGGTGGATCTCTGAGATTGAGGGCACCCTGGTCTACATAGGGAGTTCTAGGCCAGCTGGGGCTATAGGAAGACCCTGTCTCAATAAAAATAAATAAATAAAATAAAAAATAAAAATGCCAAATGAAAATCTTGGGGTCTTCACAGTTGAAGGACTCAGAGCAGTGTGATTAGATAATGAGAAAATTAGGAACTTGGTAATTTTATGGTGTTTCAAATTGTCAAAATTTTGGAGTTTTTTTCCCGATGTTAATATGTTCTAGTCTTTTAGCAGATCTTTTTGAAATTATTCTCACAAGTAGATCTTTTATAGCAGTATTTACTAAACCTTATTCTTTGTCTATATTTGTGCTTTGTTACTTTTATTAATTATGGAAGTTTCATGGATGTGAGTATGAGGGATTGGGCTTGAGTTAACTAAGATCAATTAAGAGTTATCAGATGAAGAAATGAAATGAGAAAAAGAATGGTGGAAAGAAGAAAGATAGAAGAAATTGATGCGCCTACTATTTACTTGGCTTTGCAGATTTATCTGTTAACAGTTTTATGTATTTGTTTTGCTGGCTGATAGTAGAAACAACTAATATGGGAGTTTGAGATCTAATGGCAGTGTCTCATGTGGGTTTCCTAGTGGGTGTCAATGGGTATGCTTATGATGCAAGAACTAGGCATCCAAACCTTTCTTTGAATGGGACTGCGGACAAAAGTTGATATATGATGTTACTAACCTGAGCTAAGCTTAATTCTCATATTAAAACAAAACAGAACTGTTTCAAAAGGTTAAATCTGGGTGGTTATTTTACAGTACTGTATTTAGAGATTAGGTACCAGACTCTCAGAGAATTACCTCATTTAATCCCGAAAACAATTTGGTATAAAGTAGTTAATTGCTTCTTCTATTAGAAGTCAAGGATCAAATTCAGAGCTCAAGGAATTTTTTCCGCATTAAATTGAAAAGTGCAGATTTCAGCCCAGGCTTGCCTTAATCCAGTGCTAGTGGGTGCTCTTTCTACACTGCTGCTTTGCTTCCATTTAGAGAAGAGTCTTCAGGAAAGTACGCTTCAGTTATTTTTGGCTTAATTTTAAATCTTGAGCTCCTTTTAAATGCTGGGGCTTCTCTGAAAGTATGTACATGAAATGATTGTTATTTATAAATAACCTCTTTTTGGGAATGGGATTATTTAACTTTATCATAGTCTGTAAACTGTTCAATCCTCTGTGCCCTCCCAGCCTTTTTTTTTCAGACTTAAATATTCATTTAAGAACTAGACGCTAAGTTGCCAAAATCTGCTTGTTGAGTTACATATGCCTGTGTTGTAGAGGGAGCTCTGACAACTACCTGCTTTTATTTTCTTAATTGTTGTCAGTAGTGGCCAGTATAGTACTAAGTCCAGCAATGTAAGTAAATGTTGAGACTTGGACCCTTTTTACTATGCACATTTTATTTGTTTTCTCCTCAGTCTGGAGGTCTTAGAGTTATAAAAAGTTATGCTTTCTAAAACATTTTAGTAGACACCAACAAATGATCTCAATCTACAGTTTTTTGTTAGCTTGTTTGAGTTTAGGTATCTTAAAGTGACCTTTAGTTTACAACTTTATAAGGACTTTGAAAGTTAGTGAAGCTTTGACATACTGTTGGGGACATTCTGTAGAACAGGTGTAGCAATAATAGAATGAACGTCATTATTCTTTACCTCTCACAGCCCCCGCCAAAGCAATATAAAACAACTCATAAAGTTTTTTTTCTCATTTTTTTTCTGATTTGGCCTATGGAAAAAAATAGGATGTCTTTCCCCCCTTTTCCAATCATTTATTTATAGACTCTTTGTGGAACTCAGTATGAATGTTCACATTCATATCATAACAGCTTTGTGATAGGCACCATAAAAATTCTGAACTGGGCTGAGACTTTCTATTTGACACATTTCTGTTAGTTCATAATACCTCCCTCTCCTGTTTCTATGAATTAAACTGCAACAAGTAATCTGATTGTTGACACCTGGCCCTTTTACTACTGCCCCGTTTTATTTACTCTTGAGGTCCTTATACAAGTTCTTAAAGCTTGAAAGAAACAAACTATGTACCAGCAATGTTGGCTTTATCTGAACTGAAGTCTTGCACTTCACTTGCACATTTAATATGTGTAATGGTTTTTTAAATGAAATCATTCTAGGTACAGTGATTGTACAACCAGAGCCAGTGCTGAATGAAGACAAAGATGATTTTAAAGGGCCTGAATTTAGAAGCAGAAGTAAAATGAAAACTGAAAATCTCAAAAAACGCGGAGGTAAATACAAGTGAAAATGAAACATGAGTTTAAATTGCTGTCTATGACCATATTGGAAAATCTGATATGCTTACTAAAAATACCTCCACTTTTCTGCCCATTGTTTATTAAAAAGCACTACTTAAAAATAATTTCTGTTTCTCTTTGAGCTCTGAAGCAGAAAAGGTTAAACACCATTTTTAAAAAACACCTTTGCCTTCAGTGGCTGTTAAGTTGTTTGAAGAAGCTTAGCATTTCCTTCTTCCATATACTAGTTCTATAATACTTCCATACCAGAGTAGCATGAGTTTTTCCTTATGTGGAAGGAATTTTAAATTTCTGCAGACTTTTGCCTATGGCCTCCAGGTAGCTTCATACATACCCAAAACAATGTTACATATCATAATAGAGAATGGCATTAGGTATTACCTGGGGTACTTACTAAGAAAACAAGTCCCTTTATTCATGATCAGTTAGAATTTCAGGATGAGGTCAAGAATGTGCCCCAGTTTGTTCTTTCATGTACACTACAGTTTCAGATGCACTGATGCAATGCAGAGATAAGTAGGAAAGAGATGGGAGCTAGAGATAATAAGCCTCCTCCATCTGTCTGAGTCACCTCTCTTTGTCTGCCCTCCATGTTCACTGCCAGATTGCCTAACCATCTATAGAAAGATAGCATCAGGAGAATTCACTTAGAAATCTATGAGACTTGAGCTTGTGTCCCACTTTTTTGTGTGTAATTTTAAAATAGTGCCTGAATATACTTTTTGGGCAGAATAACAGAATCTGTAACTTAAGAGGAACGAATCTCTAAAAACTAGAATATGACACTAAATTTCTAAGAAGAAGTGTGAAGAAAGTATCTATTTAATATTGTTCATGTTACAGAATTTTGAAAATATACTGAGGTTCTTGGAGGAGTTTTGAGATTTTTTTTTTATTTTGATGCAGTGATTATCTTGATGGAAATAGTAAAATTTATCAGTACTGGAGATAAATAACAGTTTATTAAAATAATTTGTTAGGTTGCAGGTGAAAAATCAAGGAAATGTTATTTAATCTTTTGTCCACAGGGGGTGTTCAACCCTCTTTGACCATAAAAATTTTCTGAAATTCTTCAAATTCATAGTAGGAAGTTGCCATTTCAGCAACATAGGTCATCAAAGCTAAGGTGCTATTATTAAACTGTAATCAGCAAGTAGAAGGTAATGAATGGTAAGGATCAGCAATAAGAGTGTATTTTGATCATGGATCCTCTAGGGAAGACAAATAACTATGTGTACCGCAGTGTATCAAGATTAATGTCTGAATGGTGTCTTTTGGGAAGAGACTCTAGAGCAGTCAGTCTCTGAAATGTGGATACATCCTGAAGAAGAACCACTGTTGCTGGGGAGGGGACTCCTAGCCGCTTTGGTATGCTGCTGCTATTTGGTTTTAGCTGATAATGTTTCTGGAAATTTTTATTGAATATTCTTTGTAAGAATGTTTATATCATGCTTAAGGCAATATGTATGTTTATAATTGTATGGTAGTGTCTAAATCTTTCATGTTTATTTCAGTGCTACATGTTTAAACTGCCAGAAATTGCACAGGAAATTTAATTTTAGGATTACTAATATACACATGTATGAATAAATTAGTGGTTTTAGATAAAGGATGGCTATAATTAGTATTCAAACATTTTAGCAAAATAGTTCCAAAATTGAACTTAATTTAGGAAACTGTCAAGAATGTAAACTTTTTATATAAAATAATCTTAAATTGGTTTGAAACAAAATTGTGGCTCAGTAACACAGCTAAAGTAACATTTCAGGAACTTCAAAAAAAACACAGCCTGCTTTTATATACTTTCCCCAGTTGAATTGTTAAAAATGTGTTATGAAAATTTTCTACATGGCAAAAATAATTTTGTTCTCTTTAAAGCCTCTAAAATGTGTTGAGCTCAAAATGAAAATGCCTCTTTTCCATTCACACAGTTATAATCTTTAATATATTTTGTAACTAAAATAAAAATTTTAAACCTACATGTGTAAAAACAAGTACATAAAGTAACATTTCAAAATTTTACCATATTTGCTTCAGATCTCACTTAAATAAAATATTGATTCAGTCCTACTCTCATCCATTTTCCCTTCTTACCACCCCTCAGGTAATGATTATCTTAAAGTTTTATGCATGTGCATGTATAACGCATGTTTTTCTATGTTTTCTATATATCTATGTGTATCAAAAACATTTTTCATTTTAAAAAAGTCTAAGAAGTAATATGCTGTTTATATCCTTTGGGTCCATTTCTCATTCAGTATTGCTTTTGAAATGTATCCATGTCAGGAAATGTAATTTTATTTTTCACTGCCCTACACAATGCTTTTATAGTATGAATATTACTATTTATTTCCCAAGCAAGTTGTTTCCAATTTTTCATTTTTTAATTAGTGTTACAGTGATTATCTTCATATAAGACTCCTTTTGCACATGTCAGAGAAATTCTCCAAAGGATCACCCAGTTTTTAAAAAAAAGTTCTCAAGTAATATACATAAAAGCACATGAATGTTTAATTCTATCTATCTATCTATCTATCTATCTATCTATCTATCTATCAATCATCTATCATCATCTATCTATCAATACTGGGTTTTTTTTTGAGACAGGGTCACCCTGTAGCCCCAGCTGTCCTGGACTTGATATGTAGACCAGGCTGGCCTTGATCTCCCAGACATTTGTCTGTGTTTGCCTTCCAAGTGCTGGGATTAAAGGTGTACACTAACATGCCTGATTAGTAATATTTAACATTGAATGAATATTCAAATTATTGCTTTCATTTATCTTGTTTATCTGAATGAAACCATTATTTAAAATCAGAATGTACATTGTATATTTGTTTCTGTTAAAATAAATAACAGACTATTATGAGTTCCCAAGATACAGCATTGACATAGGACAATATGATTTAAAATTAAAATATTAGCAACATATATAGTAAACCTTCTTACTGTCTTTTTCTGAAGACGTGTGATTGTGCCCTTATGCTTTAAACTTTTTAAACATCTACAAATAAAGATACAATAAGGTTTGGTCTGTGGTGCTTTGGACCTCAAAACTAACAAAAACAGAATACAGATTTAAATGGTGAGAAATATATATGGTGTTTTGTTTTACCTTTTATTTGGGCATAGAGACAGTCCCTCCCTGCCATTGTCTCCTTTTCATTTGTGAATGGAAACATTTTCACTAATCTCTTTAGAATAGTCTACTATGTGATTTGAATCAAGGTCTTGGTTGCATATCATGATCATCTGTAAAAATTGTCTTTAAATATTTCAGTTTAATGTTCAGAGGTGGGAATTGCTGTCTGGCTTTTCCCCTTTCCTTTTCCTTTCCCTCTCACTTTCTGTCTCTCCTTTCTTTCTTTCTTTTTTGTGACAGAGTATCACTGTATAGCCCCGGCTAGGCTCAAGTGATCCTCCTGCCTCAGCCCCCCAAGTAGCCCCCAGGTCCGTGCCTGTGTTTTTAAAACAGATTCTACCAGTGATTTTGATGTTTAGCTCAGGTTGGGAAACACTGCCTTGTCATAACAAGGGATGAGAGTGAGGCAGGAGAGGTTTCTGCTTACTCTTTCATGAGTAGGTTATCTTCATACTGTTTTCCTGAAGTTAATACAGAATAGAGCTCTACCTCTTCCATCTTCTCACATTCTGTTTGCTGCTAAGTAGATGTCCTTATAATGTCATATTTGCAAACAGTAGACATTATTAATAATGACTAGACAGTCAAGTAAACATAGAAGGCAGGTAAATAGCGATTAAGAATAATGGTGAAGTGCATCTTAGGAAGGTAATTGCTAATACAACATTACCTAGTTTTTATGTAGTGTATTTACAGGATCTATGTAAACAGTTGTATTTAAGAAGAAAAATCCTCATGGTATGTCTAACTGAAATGTAGAACTGAAAAAGAATCTGCTCCACATCTGTCACTGACTTTCCCATTTCCTAAGAACTGATACGGAATTTGTTTACAAGGCAATAGCAAAATGAAAGAGCTCTTAAATCTGGATGTGTTATCATATGCCTGCAGTCCTAGCACTGTGGAGACTGAAGGAGGAGGATTGCTGTGAGTTCCAGACCAGTATGGACTACATTGCAAGTACCAGACCAGCCAGGGCTACATAGCAAGAGCCTGTCTCAAAAAACAAATAAAGAGCTCTTGAACTTCATTTTTAGAACTTCTTTATGGTGTCTTTTTAGGTTATGTCAAGTTGTAATAAATGGGGTTTACATCTGTATGAGGAGAGAAGTTATACCTCAGAATTTGCCAAGGTTGTTATGTTTTTTTAAAAGGTCAATAAAATAAACCTTTTAAACTTGTGTCCAAAACATCATTTTCCCAAGGACTATGGGATGTTTTTATCTTTAGTACCAGGGTTGCACAATTCTGACTAAGGTCAATAACTTTTTCTCTCTGTGTATATAAAAATGTGTGAATAATGATCACTCCTTCCTCCTAGAAGATGGGCTTCATGGGATTGTGAGCTGCACCGCTTGTGGACAACAGGTCAATCATTTTCAAAAAGATTCCATTTATAGACACCCTTCACTGAAAGTCCTTATTTGTAAGGTATGTAATGATTTGGTGATGAGGATTCTGCCCTTAGAGGGCTTACATTGTATGAGGAACACAGATGTATATACATCCTGGTAAATGCCATTATATGAAAGATACCGGGACTGTGGGGCATACAGGAAGCTTGTGTAATTGGGAATTAGGTTGGGTGGCTTTCCAGTGGAGGAGATGTAAGTTGGTACCTAAAACATTTAGAATTAGACTGATTAAGTGAGATTGGCTTAGCATGTTCTAGGCAGAGGTGGCATGGTATTTAGAGGTTGTGAGGTAAGGGGGAGCCTTATGCCTTTCAAAACCTGAAGTTGCTTGTGTGAGGTTTATAACTTTCCATGTTAACATATCCTACCTTTCTAAATCTTCACGTGAAGCAGGGTTTTAATATGACTTGGAAATAAAAGATTTTAAAGAATGTTTCATGTATATTGATTATAGTTTCAAAATTTTGTGAACACTTGGTTTTAGGAATACTCTGGATTTTATTTAAAATATCTTTGATATCAAGGTTATAGGTTCTCCAGGGCTGTATACTGGGATAAGATTAGTTTTGTGTTAGCTTATTTCCCAATAAAAAACTTTGAAATGCGGGGCAGGCCATGTATTTCCTTGGTATTCTAAGTTTAAATGTTTTCTTGCATGAATTTTTGATAAATTCAGTTCTGCTTAACTCTACCAAATGTGTGCTTTAACAATATATTTTACTACTTTTCTTGAATTCTTTTCACCCAGAAGCTTATCTAGGGTACATGTTGTAGACAGCCATATCTTGTATCACTGGATCTGTTTCCTGCTCTCTTTGCTTATGCGTACAACTACTTTTTTCCGTGAGGCCTGTCTGTCAGACACTGACCATTTCAGTAATCCATCAACGTGGAGCCTTTCCCTTTCAGAAGGAAAAGAATTTTTAGTCAGTCAGACTTGGATTTTCTTTTATCTTTTCTCCCCTCCCCGCCCCTCCCCTCCCCTCCTTTCCCCTTTCCCCTTTCTTTCCTCTTTTCAGGCAGGGTCTTCCTGTAGCTCCAGCTGGCCTGCAACTCAAACTCACTGTGTAAACTTTGATGACCTCAAAATCACTGAGATCAGATCTGCCTGCCTCTGCCTCCCTAGTGCTGGCCCCACCCAGACTTGGATTTGAATCACTGCTTTGCCTCTTGTTGTATTAGGTAGTATTTACATATTAATGAACCTTAGACTTAGCTACCATAATATGTCCTACACTGTATGGTAGTTATTTTGAGATATAAAGATAATGTAGATTGTTAATTGTTTATGTATAATACATAGTAATTATTTATATATGCTGACTTAAAATTTTTAAGTATCAACAACATATACATGTTTTAAAAAATATTTTTTTTGTTTTTGTTTTGTGTGTGTTTTGCCTGAATGTATATAAGTGCACCATATGCATGCAGTGCCCACAGAGGCCAGAAGAGGATGTCAGATCCCCTGGAACTGGAGTTATGGATGGTTGTTAGCTGCCATGTGGGTGCTGGGAGCTGGGTCCTCTGCACGAGCAGTCAGTGCTCATAACCGCTGAACCATCTCTCCAGCACAACATACACATTTTCATGTAGAATTCTGGTAGCTAGTTGTGTGAGACTAGAAATTTGCTTCACTAATAAATAAAAAAAATCTTTTAAATAAAGAATAGTGGATGTTGATGATAAAGGAAATCTATTTCAAGGCATTAGTTTCTTGAGATGTTCCTATGTCTAGAAAATAACAGTTTTTTTACTTTGATCACCTCAACCATGCATATTCCTTTCATGTTTCTAATGACTTTAAAGTTTTTGTCCTTTGTGACTGTTACATATTTTGAATAAAATTTCCCCTTCCCCTTTTCTTTCAATAGAATTGCTTTAAGTATTACATGAGTGACGACATTAGCCGTGACTCAGATGGAATGGATGAACAGTGTAGGTAGGTAATAAATTAAGGTTGCATAACAGTCATTGTTGTCTACTTTTGGGTAATTCTCAATGTGGTTTTTTCTTAGCTCCATCTTTTGTTGTATTTTCATTATTGGCATCTTTAATTGCTGGCTGGTATTTTTTTTTCCCCACAAAACCTTACGTTTATGTCTAGTTTTAAATTTCTGATAAAAAATAAACAGATGGCCTCAATTACTGCTAAAAATTGCTGGAGAAAAATGTAAATGCTTTTTAATAATGAAAAGATCAAAATTAGTTTCACTGGGAATAATATTTTAATCTTTAAACCATTTCAGATGGTGTGCAGAAGGTGGGAATTTGATTTGTTGCGACTTCTGCCATAATGCCTTCTGTAAGAAATGCATCCTGCGCAACCTTGGTAGAAAGGAGTTATCTACAATAATGGATGAAAACAATCAATGGTATTGCTACATTTGTCACCCAGAGCCTCTATTGGACTTGGTCACTGCATGTAACAGCGTATTTGAGAATTTAGAACAGTTGCTGCAACAAAATAAAAAGAAGATAAAAATTGACAATGAAAAGAGTAGTAAAGTTTGTGACCATCCACCCAAATTTTCTCCGAAGAAGAATAGTTCCAGTTGTAATGGAGAAGAAAAGAAATTAGATGACTCGTGTTCTGGCTCTGTTACCTATACTTACTCAGCACTAATTGTGCCCAAAGAGATGATTAAGAAGGCCAAAAAACTGATTGAGACTACATCCAACATGAACTCTAGTTATATTAAGTTTCTGAAGCAGGCAGCAGATAATTCAGAATTGAATTCTGCCTCAAAATTACGTCAACTTAAGGTTTTTAAATCTGTGTTGGCTGATATTAAGAAGGTTCATCTTGCATTAGAAGATGATTTGAATTTTGAGATTCGAGCTTTGGATGTTGTACACAAAGAGAAAAATACCAAAGAGCATAAAGTCACAGATGCTAAGTCTGAAACAAGAGTCCGCAAAGGGGAAAAACCTTATGCCATGGAAAAGAAAGAAATTTTAAAGTTAGATGCTAAATCATCAAGAAAAATGTTAGAGAGTGAGCACATCCCAGCAGAGGAGCGCAAAGCAAATAAAAATACTAGTGGTGAACATAGGAAATCTGATAGGAAAGAAGAACCTCACTATGAACCTGCGAGCACGTCTGAAGACTTAGACATGGATATTGTCTCTGTTCCTTCCTCAGTTCCGGAAGATATTTTTGAGAATCTTGAGACTGCTATGGAAGTTCAGAGTTCAGCTGATTGTCGAGGAGATGGCAACAGTGGGACTGAGCAAGAATTGGAGAGCTCATCTCTAAAATTAAGTACTCCTGCCAAAGACAGTAGAGGAAGTATTAAGTCAAAAACCACAGCAAAAGTCACAAAAGAACTCTACGTTAAACTCACCCCTGTTTCCCTTTCTAATTCCCCAATTAAAGGTGCTGACTGTCAGGAAATTGCACAGGAGAAAGATGGCTCTAAAAGTTCTGGTCTGAACCCCAAGTCAGAGAAATGTGGACCTGCGCAGGAAAATAGTGATGATGAGCATTCGCTTGAAAATGATGTTCCAGTACTTTTTGAAGAATCGGATCTTCGAAGATCCCCCCGTGTCAAAACTACACCCTTGAGGCGACAGACAGAAACTAACCCTGGAACATCGAATTCAGATGAAGAAGGTAATGAAACCGTTAAAGAGAAGCAAAAACTGTCAGTGCCTATAAGAAAAAAGGATAAGCGAAATTCTTCTGACAGTACTATTGGTAATCCTAAACCTAATAAATTGCCTAAATCTAAGCAACCAGGGATTGTGGATCAAAATTCAGATTCTGATGAAATGCTAGCAGTCCTCAAAGATGTAAGCCAGATGAGTCACAGTTCTTCTTCAGATACTGACATTAATGAAACACTTATAAATCATAAGATTCAAACAGGGAAAGAAGATAATGGAAAAAGGAAAAGGAAAAGTTCTACTTCTGGCTCAGATTTTGACATTAAGAAAGGAAAATCAATTAAAAGCTCTATAATCTCTAAAAAGAAACGCCAAAACTACTCAGAGTCTTCTAATTATGACTCAGAGTTAGAAAGAGAGATAAAAAGCATGAGCAAAATTGGGGCTGCCAGAATAACCAAAAAAAGGGTTTTAGATAAAAAAGATGGTGACTCTTCTGAAGATGAAAAGCATAGCAAAAAGGAAGTGGATAATGCAGGGCAGGAATGTGTGAAGACTGCACAAGAGAGATCAACTGATGATGCTGAAAAGCAAGAGAGAGAGAATGCCTCTTCAGCGGAAGGTTCATGTGAGAAAGATGGTAAGAGTGTGGTGGAATCGAGAGAGATGCTGTCTAAGAGGCAGCAACCGAGTGGTTCCTCTGACAGTGCAGAAAAGCCGTCAGGGAGAGAGGACAGTGCAAATTCTCCTGAAGACAAAAGAGTTGCTAAGAACAAAGAGAAGAATAAGCACCTGAAAACTAAAACCTGTAGAAAAGCACAAAGTGGCTCATCCAGTATTGCTGATAAATGTTCAAAGAGAGAGCAGAGTGATGAATCCTCTGAAGGCGAGAAGAAGCAGAGCAAGAAGGAAATGGAAGAAAAAGAAAAGAGAACTACAGACTTGAAGGACAAACCAATTAAGACAGAGCCCCAGGATGATTCTTCATCTGATGGTACTGAGAAATTACCTGAGGGAGAAGAGATTGGCCATTTTCCTAAAGGCATAAAACAAAGTAAAAATGACACAACAGATGGGGAAAAGAAAGGCAAAAAACTAAGAAATAAAATATCCAAAAAGAAGGAAGAATTATCTGATAGTATTGAGAAATTGCCAGGAAAAGGAGATAGTTGTGACTCTTCAGAAGATAAAAAGAACAAGAACAGAACTTCTGGTAGAGAGAAGAAAAAATGCAGCTTTCCTGAAAAGAGTTCAAGGAAGAAACCAGAGTGTTCGTCATCTGATACTGAGAAATATTCCTTGAAAGAAGACTGTTGTGACTCTTCTGATAAGAGACCAAAAAGAATTGAATTGAGAGAAAGAAGAAATTTAAATTCAAAGAGAAATACCAAGGAATTACCAAGTGGTTCATCATCATCTGATCCTGAGGAAAGTTATGAAGATAAGAAAAAGCAGAAGAAACAAAGAACTTCAGCTAAAAAGAAGGCAGGCAATGCCAAGGAGAAAAGAAGAAATTCCTTGAGAGCAAGTGCTAAGAGGAAGCAAAGAGACATTACTTCTTCGTCTTCTGATATAGGAGATGATGACCAGAATTCTGCAGGTGAGGGGAGCAGTGATGAACAGAAAATAAAGCCTGTGACTGAGGACTCAGTGCCGCCTTCACACACTGGATTTTGTCAATCTTCAGGTATGCAAGACTAAGTTTGAACTTTAGAATTTGTAATCTCCTCCTCCTCCTCTTGAATAACTGTATTGTTTAACGTTCTTTGAGGTCAAGTTCAGAGTTACTGTTGAGGAAAAGGCTATTTAAAATGTATTTTGACATTTACTGTAGAACCTTTCTTCATTTATTTTCATGTCACCATTGGAAGGCATTTCAAATGTTACTATTCTTTTGCCAGGCACACTCAGTTTCTTGGATAAATAACAAAATTACTTTGTCCATGTCTAATGCATGTTTCTGGAATAATGTACAGTAAGTAGTGTGTGAAGGAAAATCAAGGTGATGTTGTTACCAAACCTGGGATAACAGTCTGTACCTCAAGAAGCCAATTTGGGCTACCTGTCCTGAAGAAGCCAATTAGAACAGCCAAATTAATAGTAAAAAAGCAGAAAGAAGATACTTACTCTGACTCTCTTACAATACATCTTTGGATTTTTGAAAGGAGATTGAAGTTAAATAGAGGGCCAGGGATATAGACATCTAAGCAGTCCTGCTGAGATGGGGTCCCACCCACCACTGATCCATCATTGTCTGGGCTTCAGTCAGTCTCATCCTGCAAGCTAGTCTGAGAAGGTTTTAGAACTCAGCCGGGTGTGGTGGCTCACACCTTTAATCCCAGCACTTCGGAGGCAGAGGCAGGTGGATCTCTGTGCCAGCCTGGTCTACATAGTGAGTTCCAGGCCAGCTGGGGCTACAAGACGACTCTCTCTCAAAAAGACAACGAAACAAAACAAAGAATCACTACTTTTGAGAATAATAAGCAAACCGTGTAAAAAAAACAGCAAAAGCTGTTTACTATACTGAAAACTTTTAGAAAGAACCATGCCCCACAGTATTTATAGAGCACTTAACAAAGCCCTAGTGAGGTTTGATGAGATGCCATTTAATCAGACAGTTCAGTGAACTGTTTGAAAGTTCATACTCAGAGGAATAAATACTTCAGATCAGGTTTTCCAGTCAAATGGTCTTTGGTACCACCTTACAAAAATTCCTGGTTTTGAGAATTTTTGAACTTAAGAATTCTGAATAAATAGGCAGTTGATCTAATCTTAAGCATTGGAAGATTGGCTTCTGTGATTAGTTTCCCTGGTGAGTTCAGCATATTTAATTTACAATGTTTTTACTAATTTTAATTTCCTAAAAATTCTCTCGATTTGACATACATGTTCATCATGTATATATTTTTTGCAGTGCTGGGGATGGAACCCAGGGCCTCATGCATGCTAGGCGAATGCTCTACCACTGAGCTACATTCCTAGTGATTTGACGTGAAGCGTTGTATATCTCTCTGTCTTGTTTTTATTTTCTGATTTTGTGTGAGACAAGATCTTGCTGTGTAGCTGTGGCTGGTCTGGAATGTGCACAGCCTCACATTCAGACTTGAGCAGGTCCTCCTGCTTCTGCATCTTGAGGACTTAGATTATGGGTTTGTGCCACTATGTGGAGCAAAGTTTCTGCATTTCTTATGTTTTGAATTATTAATTTGTGTAAGAAGTAATATCTATTCATTAGATCATAATAGATGGTAACATGGCAAATAGTAAAGATGTTTCTCAATAATTCCTTAACCCAGTTCTAGCCTAGATCATTGTGTTTCATTTCTGGCTAATTAATATAACTTTGCCTAGCATGGTAAGTCCCTGGAGTTCATCTTTAGTGCAATAAGAAAACAAAACAAAACTTGTGGGTACTGGAGAGATGACTTGAAGAGGTTCTGCATTTAGTACCTGGCACACAGATCAGGTGACTCTTAGCCACCTATAACTCCAGATCCAGGGAATCTTATGCCCTCTGGCCTCCAAGACACCTGCACACACACACCTGCACGAATGTGGCCTTTGCGCACACACACAAAATAAAAATAAATCTGAGCACCTTCCTAGCACTCAAGAGGTTGAGGCAGAAGAACTGCCATGAGTCAGTTGTTTGTCTGGGCTATATAGTAAGTTCTAGACGAGCCTGGGCTACGGAGTGAGACCTTGTCTTAAAAATCATGAAACCGCCGGGTGTGGTGGCGCATGCCTGTAGTCCCAGCACTTGGGAGGCAGAGGCAGTCCGATCTCTGTGAGTTCAAGGCCAGCCTGGTCTATATAGTGAGTTCCAGGACATCTGGGACTACAGGGAGACCCTGCTTCAAAAAGCCAAAAAAAAAAAAAAAATCATGAAACCAACTGGGCGTGGTGGTACACGCCTTTAATCCCAGCACTGTGAGTTCAAGGCTACCCTGGTCTACATAGTGAGTTCCAGGCCATCTGGGGCTACAGGGAGACCCTGTCTCCAAAAAGACCATGAAAACCAAAACAACAACAACAAAACAACAACAAAAACCAAAACAAACAAAAATAAAAAACCATGAAACTAGGGCCTAGAGAGATGGCTCAGTGTTTAAGGGCACTTGCTGTTCTCCCAGAGGTCCCAGGTTTGGTTCCCAGCCACCCACATGTTGGTTAACAACTCTCCTTAACTTCAGTTCCTGGGGATCTGACACCGTCTTCTGGCTTTCATGAGCATTGCATGTGTGGGTACATTTACATCCATGCAGGCAAAACACTCATACACATAAAATAGAAATAAATTAATAAAAAAAAACCATGAGACCAGCTGGACATACTGTTGCATACTTTTAATCCCGGCACTTGGGAGGCAGATCTTTGTGACATCCAGGCCAGGCTGGTCTACATAGCACGTTCTAGGCCAGCAGAGGCTACAGGGAGACCCTGTAAAAAAAAAACCAAGCCAAAACAACAACAAAACATGAAACCAAAACAAACAAAAAATTACAATGGGGCTGTAATAGTAAATGAGCTACTTAATTGTTTCTGGGAAAAACAGTACAAGTAGTACTTGAACTTGAACTTGATTTTGAAGTTTAAACACTTAAGAGATTTTATTTTGAAAAGAATGTGTGTGTGTGTGTGTGTGTGTGTAGGTGTAGATGTAGGTGCTCTTAGAGACCAAAGTGGGCTATCATGTGGGTACTTGGAACTGAAATTGAGTTGTTTGCAACAGCAGCACATGCTCTTAACTACTGAGTCATCTCTCTAGCACCAACTTTGACTTTAGATTGATAAAGAAGAATGACAGCAGCCAGGCACGGTGGCACTTGCCTATAGCTCCAACACTCCAGAGACAGAGGCAGAGAGAAGCAGGGTCACTGCAAGTTCAAGGCCATCCTGGGCTACTTTGCAAGTAATTGGTCCAGCAGGGCTTAATAGTTAGGTCCTATCTAAAAGAGGAAATGAGGGTAAAACAGCTAGTAATACATTATTTTAAGAGTGATATATTGAACTGAGTTTTTTTTTAATCTTTTTGAGACAGGGTCTCCCTATTGCCCCAGCTGGCCTGGAACTCAACCTGTAGGCCAGGGTGGCCTTGAACTCAACAGAGATCCACCTGCCTCTGCCTCCCAAGTGCTGGGATTACAGGTGTGTGCCACCACGCCCGGCTGAAGTGAGATATTTTTACTGAGATACTATGAAAGTTTTTTTTTTCTTTTCTGCATTTAGCATATTTTGATCCTGAATCTTTAGGTATCTGTCCACCTTTCCCCTTCAAGTGCTAGGTCTCAAACCTGGCGTCTTGCACACACCAGGCAAACATTATATCATGGAGCTGCACTCTCTAGCCCAATGCCTGTGTTGTTTATAGCTATTTTCCTCCATTTCATTATACTGTGAAAAAAATTGTAAAGAAAAAGGAAAAAAAGCATAGGAGGGTCTCATACACTCCTTTACTCAGTTTGCTCCACCAGTGATAGCTCGTGTGACTATAATACAGTATAATTTAGGAAATTTAGGATTTATTCTAATTTCAGTAAGGTTTTTTAAAAAAAATATTTGTATGTGTGTAGGTCTGTGTGCTTGTGTGCTGGTGCCCATGAAGACCACAAGAGGGCATTGGATTTCCTGGAGCTAGAGGTACAGGCAGCTGTGAGCTGCCTGACATTGGTCCTGGAAAGTGAACTCAGGTCTTCAAAAGAGCAACAAGTTTTCTTAACCATTCAGCCATCTCTCCAGGTCCTACAGTATTTTTTTAAAGCCAAGGTTTGACTATGTAGCTCTGGGTGGCCTGGAACTTGCTATGTAGACCAGGCTGGACTCAAAATCATAGCAATCCATCTACCTTTGTCTCTGCCTCCCAAGTGCAGGACTAAAGGCATGAATTACCATATGCAGCCATTCAGTAGTTTTTAAAAATATTCATTTACTCATGACAATCTTGCTGTGTAGTCTAGGCTGGTCTCCCACCTCTCCAGTGATGAGATTACTGGTATCAGTTACCTTATCTGACTCCAGTTCAGGAGTTGTCTGTGTACTCATTCCTTCCTTCCTCTGTGTGTGTGTGTGTGTGTGTGTGTGTGTGTGTGTGTGTGTAGATTTATGCAGGTTTGTCTTATGTGTAGCTATGTATAACCTCACAAGGATAAGTGTTTCATTATTATAACAGGACCCCCCCACACACACACTTTAGATTTCCCCTCCTTACCTCCGTTATTAATTCCTGGCAGCTAGTAATTTGCGTCTGTAATTTGTTTAGTTTGAGATTGGTGTTTTTGTGAGTTTTTTTTCTCATTGTAATGCCCTTGATATCTTCATGCATTTCAGAGTTACTGGTGAACATTAGTATAAGTAACCTTATTAAATACTTCAGCATGCATAATATTAATTAGAATTTAATTTATTTTCTTTTGAGGTGAAATTTACATATAATTAAATGCAGAAATCCTAATTCTGCCTTCTTTTTTCTCTTTTTGCTGTACTGGATGGAATCCAGGGTCTTGTGAATGCTAAGCTAGTGCTCTCCTACTTAGTTACAACCTCAGCCATGTCCTTAGATTAAAAAAAAATAAAGTGTAACTTAACTTTTTGTAATGAAATGAGTCGTAGTGCACTTGAATGTGTTTCTGGGTAATTCAAGTTGTGGATATCATACACATTCAAGTGTGCTTTTCAATTCCTTGGCACTACCAAAATAGTAAAAGCATTTTTGTTATTCTTCAGTCATACAGGATAAAGTAGACAACTCTTAACTTCAGACTTCGAATGGATAGATACAAATGTTATTTCAACAGGATACCATTGCTGATAATGATGGCAGCTGATAGTTTTTAACAAGGCTTGGTCTTAAAATTCTTGTGCTTTGAGAAGAAACCTTGAGATATATAAGATCCAACTATCATTTTCCTATTGGTACTTCATAAATCTATTATGCTTTCTATAAAAATTCCTTTTACTCATGTTTTTTTTTTCCAACAGTTTTATTTAGAACTAGTAGTTTGCACTAAAGTTGTTGGCTTTCAGTTTTATTTTACACGGTTTTACTTGTATTGCTGTGTTAGATAATTCAAAGCTAATTTTAAGTACACTTTTTCCCCCAAAGGAGATGAAGCCTTATCTAAATCAGTGCCTGTCACAGTGGATGATGATGACGACGACAATGATCCTGAGAATAGGTATGATCCCATCCGTAAGGACCTAAAAAAGATTATAACACACCCTAGGCGGGGGCACAGACAACAACAACGGAACACCAAGCAGGTTGTAAAACCCAGGAGTGCCTGCCTTAGAAAGACTCACGCACAGTCTTCATGCAAGTTTGAAAGAAAGGCCAGAAAATGGGCTAAAACTCAGAAACCTTAACAAAAAAGTAATTATCAGTATTAACACACCTAGCATAGGGTGTGTTACAAACACGGAACTGGCAATTTTATGTTTCCATGTAAAGTGGATAACTTTTTGAGACTATTTCAATTTCAAGAGATTATTTTTTTCATTAAAGCAAATCATAAATGGTGACAACAGACATCTCTAGATTTGATTATTTTTTAAAAAAAAATTATTCAGTATTGTGGTCCTATTTATTAAGGCCTGTTGAGGGTGAAAAAATAAATTGTTCAGATATTTAAGATTAAAAAATTGCTTTTAAACTAAGTATCAGTTGATGAGGTATCTAGACAGATTTAGATATTAGCCATTTTTTCAAATAAAATTGACATAGATAGTATGACATACTTAACCACTAAGATAAAGAACATGTTTAAATGTAAACTGTGATGCTTTATACAGTTTTACTTACCTTAGGGATGGCTGAGAGAAGGAAAAAACACACCAGTCACAGTATTCAGTAAAGAGAACAGGTATTCAAGACTATAGCCAAGACATTTCTACACTTTCAACATTTCTTGTCCTTTAATGTTTTAGTTATAATTTTCAATGAGAAGATAGTGTGGTATAGTAGATGGCAAACTTTTCACAATTTTAATAGTTGTATGCTCTTAGGCAGGTGACTTTAACTTCTTTTGCCATAATTTTATCTCTAAAATGGGTAAAGTTTCTCTGATTAATTCTAGTATCAAAAATATATGATAGACAAGATGATTTTATTAAAGAGCACTAGAATTACCGTCTGTTCCAGCAGAAAGCTCCATTGTTAGGGAACTATATATATATGCATGCATGCATGCTTGTCATATTTTGTGTAAGTGCTCTCAGGGCATCTGTTGCTCGTGTTTTATGTCTTGCTGATGCTGATAGGTTTCTCTGATTCAGTGATCAGCATCTTTCTAAGAAATAGAACATTTTCATTAGAGTAGAAGATTAGGTTTATTTTTACACTTAAAGTATAGTTAAGTTGTAAATGTAAAGACTCAGCTTCTCCCTTCCTATTTTTCATTTTAAAATATCTATCCAGTTAATTTGTGGCATATAGATAAGGCTCGCAACAGAATGACAAAGGCATACAATGGTTCCCTCAGGGATTTTATAGTGTGCCATCATTGCTAGAGTACGTAAGCAGTTAGAATTTAATTCTCTTTTGGAATGCTTTAGTTTTTCACTTATATGTGCTGCTGTTTGTTTTCCTATGAATCATGAGTCCTTAGATGTTACTAATAGTCTCAATGTTCAAAATATTCTATCCTATTTTAAGAGAGAGATGAACTTTTATATTCAGGCACCAAATAAGACTGTTGTTGGGCATAATATTTGTTATGGCTTATAAAAATAAAGTAAGATTTTCATTTCTTAAATTTCTTGATTATATCTCTCTGTAACTGACAAGTATTTTACTGGAAAATATCATTAATTCTGTCTTGTATTTGCGATTTTAAAAGAGTACAACCCTGTTGAGAACTTGACAGGAGTTGAATTTTATCTTGAGCATGTCTTTTTATTCAGTTTAATGTGCTTTTATAAAATATACAATTAATAACTTGTTTAATATCCACTATACCAAAGAAGTATCTTAATATGCATGGGTTATCCATTCCTTTTTAGGATACAAGTATGTTATTGCACTATTTTAATAATAGACAATGTATTTGAGCATAGTTATATTTGCACTTAAACAACTTACAACAATTTGTTTTAGATCATTTAGAAATTTTCCAATTTCATAAGTTTTGAGATGTATCTTGGTAGAGAGAATATTTTTATTGTCTGTAAATTTGTACACAATTGTGTAATTGTGTATAAATTGTGTATAAATTGCATATGCTTTGCTTTTTTGGTAGTATTGTAATACATGTCCAGTTTTTGGAGAGGTAAATAGTGTATTGTTTCAAATGCTTACCTATTTGGATGCAATAAATTTTTATAAAACTTTTTCTTGTTCAAGCATTTAATTTAAATAATTATGAATCTTTCATAAGAGTTCATAAGAATTCATTAGACTCAAGATGCATAGATTAGGGGCTGGAGAGATGGCTCAGCAGTTAATCTTACAGAGGACCCAGGTTTGATTCCCAGCACCCACATAGCAGCCAACAACTGTCCGTAACTCCAGTTCCAGGGGATTCAGTGCTCTCTTCTGACCTCTGCGGGCATTGCATGGTACGGTGCACTTACATGCATGGAGGCAATACATTCATACACATAAAATAAAAATTATGAAATATTATTAAAAGACACATAGATTAGTTTGTAGCTGTAGAACTTTTGGCATTGCTGAAATTAAAGAAGCCAATACTTTTTAATTTCTAAAAAACATATGCTTATATTTGTGTGAAGGTTTAACAAAAGATTTACAGTTATTTACTCTTTCTGTTTTAAAGCTGTGATATTAAAATAAAAAGGTTGCTAGTTGTTTTGATGGTCATTAAAACAGTCCTATTGTCAATATTTTAGTGGATATAAATAAATTTCTGCTAGAATAGTCTAATCAGTAAATTAATTTCTATTTAGTTGTTTATTCAACAGTGACCAAATGTAAGTTGACTGACACTGACATCTTTCTTTTTTATTAAAAAAAATGCATTTTATGGCCAGGTGTGGTGGTGTATGCCGTTAATCCCAGCACTCAGGAGGTGGAGGCAGGCCGATCTCTATGAGGTTGAGGCTAGCCTGGTCTACATTGTGAGTTCCAGGCCAGCTGGGGCCACAGGGAGACCCCATCTCAAAAATACCAAAAAAGAATATTTTGTTACTCTCATTTCATGCGTATGAGTGTATTGCTTGCATATAGGTAGGTGCACCCGTGTTGTATAATGCCTGTGGAGGTCAGAAGAAGGCATGGGATTCCCCAGGACCTAGAGTTATAGACAGTGTTAGTGTTAGTGCTGGGAATTAAACCCAGGTCCTCTGCAAGAGCAGCCAGTGCTATTAACTGCTGAACCATCTCTCCAGCCCGACGTATTTTTTCTGATTGAGCTTTTTAGACAAAAAATAGTGATCTTGTATTTTGAAATTTCTGTAACTGAGAATTTTTAGATTTTCTACCTTAGGCTTTATGTACTTTTCAAAAGGTAAAATAATAATGCCAAATAAATTAATATATATATATTTTTTTTTTGCGATAAAATCTCACTATGTAGCCTTGCCTGACTTGGAACTCACTGTGTAGACCAGGCTGGCCTTGAACTCTCAGAGATCTGTCTGTCTCTGCCTGCTGAGTGCTGAGATTAAAGGTGTACATCACCATACTCCATTGTTTATCAGATTTTGAAACTTCTAAACAGAAATTAAGTCTGTTATGTGAAGTTACTAATAGTGTATGGTTTCATTTGCCTTTTGAATATTTCTTAGTTTTAGGTTATTTCTTTCTTTGAAAAAACATATAATTTTTTTTCAGTTTGGTCTAATTTAACTATTAGACTGTTACTGAATACAGGTTGAGTGTCTTTTAACCAAAATGCTTGGGACCAGAAGTGTTTCCAGTTTTGAAGTTTTTTTTAGAGGCAGTTATATTTGCCCAGTCTTTGCCAGGTGGATGCCCCTAATCTCTAAATCCATAGGATTTCAGGGCATATCAGATCTTTGGATTAGGAATGACCAACATGAACAATGTGATTGCTTTATGTTTTCAGTATAACTAGTGACTTTTTGACGAAACATTTTTCTCATAATACATAGCCTAGTAATATGGCAATAGTATATTCATGTTTAATAATAGCATCTGTGTTGAGGATCATTATTTCTAGAATATTCTTTTTAAAAGTTTTTTACATTTAGTGTGTGAGTTTGTGTGTGTGTATGTATTTGTGCACATGCGTGTGCATGCACATACACCGGTTGAGACACTGGTTGAGCTCACAGGACATCTCTTGTGAGTCTGTTCTCATCTACCACATGGGTTTTGGTGATGAAACTCAGGTCGTCAGGCTTGCAAGCACCCTTACCCACTGAGACATCTGGCAAGCTTTGGAATATTTTTCATTTATATGCTTTGTATGATATAAGAATTGAGAGTAAAACTACAAATTACTGGAATTTTCTGTTAATCCCTCTCCCCATTTTGACTGACAACTGAGATTTCTACATGGATACCCTTTCTTGCTGTGCATGGCTGCTTGTGTGTTCTCTCTCTCTCTCTCTCTCTCTCTCTCTCTCTCTCTCTCTCTATTGTTGAAGAATGCTTACATGGGTTTAGTAATCTTCCACAATTTTTCATAAATGCAAGATCTGATGGGAGATTGTTGATATAAGTTTTACTACATACAGTGTACTCAGATAATAGTCTTTAAAAAATCTGATTCTACTGAGGTTTAGTTATCCTATCTACAGTCCCTTGTTTTAGGAAGATCAGCTCTTCCTCACCTAGCAGTTATCAATTGCCAATGTTTCTTCAGCTAAGATTGGTGTTTGCTGTCCATTTCCCCAGTTCTCTGCTGGGTTTTTGTCTGCTTGAGTTTGCATGGGTCTTGTACATGCTGACATCATTGAGGGTGCCAGTGGGGAAGGGAATATAAAGATGATTAAGATTGGTAGAGATATTGTTTGGAATACACAAAAATTCAATAAAACTTAAAAAATATGATTCTTATATCATTTGGCAATAGTTTTGCATTTTAAACTAGGAAATATATGTATTATGATGGTTTTTCCTCCCCTGCTGACATGGTGTGGATACTACATTGATGAAGGCCTTGTACTATTAATCCAGCTTTTTTGGGAAGATACTAATGATTCCTGGATGTTGTTCATACTATTGAAAATATTGAATGATTATTTGTCTGAT